TGGACCGCAGAGAGATGGCCTGTCTCAAGTTCCTGCTTCTGTTCAACCCCAGTGAGTAAACGCACAGCTGCAGACATCAGGCCTGGCGTCAGGCCCAAACGGAGAAATAGCATGCACACAGTACGTGTGTGTTGATGCCTTTCAGGTGAAGAACTGATGCATCTTACTGGGGCTGCATTGCCATACAGCCGCATGAATAGCAATACCACCATCTTAATGAAAACATCGTCACCAAACAGCAGCTCCAAATCCAATCAGGTTAGAGTGTTTCCAGCGTGGCCTCTTCCCTCTAATAAACACACTTAATTAAATTTTTAGGTTTGACAAAAGCCAACATTAACAAAGACAAGCTCCTGCATTGTCCACTAATGGCATTCAGGAGGAGGGTTCTGATGGGAAGACGTGTGCAGATGGAGCGAGCCGGCCCAGATTCTCAGAAGTGTTTGCCGTTCAGTGCTGCTGCAGAGCGGAACAAAGAGCTTTTGAACAGCGAGAGCACTTGTCATACACAGAAAATATTTGCTGTCTTCGGCTTCTTCGCTCACTCGCGCTGCCGCTCTGCCTCGTTTTCAGAGTCAGGTTTGTTGAGGGGTAATTTAATTGCCCTTAAGCAGTTTGAAAAGATGATTCAGAACATCGATTCAAAACATTTAATTACTGTGTGAATAGATTCCCTGAGACGGGCTCAGCTGATGCTGAATGCCATTCAGCTGGAGGGCAAGGCTATTGTCTCTCACACACACACACACACACACACACACACACACACACACACACACACACACACACACACACACACACACACACACACACACACACACACACACACACACACACACACACACACACACACACACGTATAGATAAGTGAGTGAACTGTTCTCACTCCATGAACACGTTTTGATTTAAAATGAAACACTGGCTTTAAACATGTTTACTTCTATGAGGAACATTTGGTTTAGCTCCAGATTTGACTGATCTGAACTCCGTCTCTTTCTCTGTTGGATCAACATCAGTAATGTTTTAGTTTCAATTATAAAATGTTTCTCCTGTGCTGCGTTTCAAACACAAATATATTAAAAACCAAACTAAACTGATTTTGTTTTCCTTTTCTTAATCAAATGGTCATCATGAGAGGGATTTTTAGCATGTTCTCCTCGTGCATGTGTGGGTTTCCCCAGCTCCTCCCACATACCTAGAACCTACATGTTGGGTTAACTGGAGACTCTAGATTGTCCCCAGGAGTGATTGGTTGTTTGTATCTGTGTGTCCCTGTGATGGAATGGTTAATTCTGTTAATACTCAGATCTATGATACCTTCTGATGCTCCCTTTAAAGGTGTAATATGTAAGAAATCTATAGTGAAATAGTCATTAAACAGTCAAATGTGTCAAACATACTGAAACAGATTTCATTCCCAGCCGGCTGCATGGTGATCAGTTTTTATCTTAAAAAACAAAACAAAAGACGTAGTTAGTGTTTACACGAGCTTGTGAGGTTGCCCAATCTGCACCAAGCTAAAGCTGAAGTAATTCAACACCAGCAGGCTAAAAGCTCCAGAGTTGTTTAAAGAACCAGTAAAAAGGAGCAACCCAGAAGTTATTTCTAAGAAGCCACGGCATCTTTTCGCCTCTAATCTAATATGGGGTGAAGCAGGCTAGAGGCTAATGTTGAGCTAACAATACGTGAATCAGAAGCAAATATTTGGCGCTAAAAATATCTGAAGCTACTTTTTCAGCAACCAATAACTCGACGTGGCAGTGAAATGTAAGTGTGACGTGACTAACAGCAAGACAGGAAAACAGCACTTCCTGTAATACTGTAATAAGTGTGGTAAGATGTCTTTACCATAAAACACCCAAGAATGCGAACACCAGATGTGACCATGTGTTTGTCTGTATTTATCACTCATCTTCACTCATCATCTAGAATCTTCTGGTGCTGATCCGCAACTGGAAAACGTCATGAAACTCCAGAACCGGAGTGAGATTGTAATAATTTGGCTTAAAACGAGCCGCTATACCCACATCTGACCACAGGATGTTAGTCTTACAAATAGCACCTGTAAGAAACCTTCCAGAAGGTTTAACTGACCCTGATCCCTGGTAGCTTGGTCACCTGTTCCTGACTTCTGTGTGTTTGCAGACGTCAAGCTCCTGGAGAACCAGGCGTTTGTGGAGGGCGTCCAGGAGCAGGTGAATGGGGCTCTGCTGGAGTACACACTGTCCACTTACCCCCAGTTCCAGGAGAAGTTCAGCCAGCTGGTGGTCCGGCTGCCTGAGCTGCGTGCCCTCAGCACGCAGGCCGAAGACTACCTGTGCTACATGCACCTGAGCGGAGAAGTGACCTGCAACAACTTACTCATTGAGATGCTGCACGCTAAGAGAGCGTGTGTGTGAAGAGGACCACACACACACACACACACACACACACACACACACACACACACACACACACACACACACACACACACACACACACACACACACACACACACACACACACACACACACACACACAGGTTATGGTTTAGCTCAGAGAGGAGAATGTGGAGATGATTTGATGTTTTTTATATCCTGCACAGCAACTTTAATGTGACCTTTAAAAACTGGATTTTCTACCCTGTTTTCAGCCAGAGGGGGGAGTTTCTCTGTCCTTATCAAACATCTGAAATAAATGAAGCATCACAGGAGACGTGTGTCTGTTCTGATCTAAGGGGAACCTCGGTGTTTTAGGGTTTGGGACTCTGAGAACATCTCTGACTCGACCTGGAGTCCTATCAGGAACCTGAAGTGTTGTACCCATCCTGTTCCTTTACCTGTTTGTTCATGTTCCGGGTGGCAGGGAGCTGATGATGAGAGGCGGGGCTACACCTGGACAGGTCACCTGTTCATCACAGAGCCAACACACACAGACAGATGAAATAAGTGGTGCTGATCCGCTGAAGACAGAAGAACCCTCAGTGGTCCCTGAAATAACAGAACTAGTAAATAAAAACAACACTTGGACACTGCTTCATCAGAAACGATGTAAAACCAAACAAATGAAACTAGTCTGGACTAAACCGACTTCTCACCTGGATCTAGATCAGGACTAACAGAAGAACACTTCAGAACGCTCTGTTTGGTTCTGATCCATTCTCTGTGTTTCTGGCTGTGTGTTCATCCTGCTGGAGGAGCCGTGACCAGAGACTGGGACCAAGCTTCCAGGTCCTGATGGTCTTCAGATTTGATCAGACCTATCCCTGGTCCAGATGCTGCAAAAGCAGGTCCAGAACCACACTTCCTCCATGTTCAACCGTAAGCTCAGAGTTCTTAGGGCTGATGGGATTCACCAAGAAGCTCCAGTTTCATGTCATCAGTCTGAAGGATGTTCTCCCAGAAGCACGTTGATCAATCCCAGTTGGGTTTTTAGGATTTCCCTCCTCAGTCACCTTCTATTTGGTCCACTTTGTCTCCAACAGAAACAGACGGTAGTTACCGATGTCTCAGTGTGCCATCAGTTGTCCTCTTCTTGTCCAGGGAGGTTGTCTACTGTCTTTAAACATCTGAATAATCTGTCCAGCTGCAGCTGCTGGTGGACACCTTTGGCTCCGATTACTGGACACAACTGAGTTTGATACGTCACGGCTTCTCTAAAATGGTAAAATTTGATATAGCGCCTTCTAGAGTCCTGGAACCCCCCAAGGCACTTTACAACACATTCACATGTCCACACCCTGGTGGTGGTGAGCTACAGACTGAGCGGGGCTCGAGCCCGTGGCTGGAAGAAGCCGACCTCCTGACCGATGCTGAGACAAATCATTCATTGTTTATGATTTAAAGGTGTTGTAGACAATCATTCCACCTGCCTTAAAACACACACACACACACACACACACACACACACACACACACACACACACACACACACGCATTACCCTGTACAGTGTATTTATGTTGTGAAGTGAATATCTCCTGATAAGATCCTTTTGACTCTAGAACGTTTCTGCTTCTCGCCGAGGCCTGATGTCGTGGAGCTGATTTCTGTTTCTGCTGACTTCTGTTTTTTTCTTGTGAGTCTGTTCCTCGGAAATGTGCGCGCAACAGAGAAAATGAGCAAAGTGTTTTTTTAGATATATTTTATTGTAATAGAGTCCAACAAATAAAGTCCAACTAACGAAAGATTCTCTGGTGTGCATTTTTCAGTTTTCATTGTTTGCATAAAAACTGATTCACAGAATGACTCAGAGGCGTTCTAACCATGTAGTTACTTCAGATAAACCCCATCCGTGGTCCGTCTGTACTCACAACACAGACTAATGAGACTTCCACCTTAAATGAACCGTTTTATTTAGAGAAATCTAAGTCTCTGGTTCAGGAGCAGCTTGAGGTGAAACAGAAGCGAGGAGGAGAACGTCTCAGCTCTCCTCATGTCAGATCATTTATTATATATTTAAAAAATTGAGCGGTAGTAAAACCACTAAAGCGGACACAAAACAAATCTGCTAGAAAAAATCAAATGTACAAGTCAAAATGTGAGTCAGAGAAATAGAAATAATTCATACAATTCAGAAACTAAACAGAAAACTGTCCGAATCTCTCAGGGTCTCCGCCTCAGTTTTCATGACATAACTTTGAATAGACTCCACAAAGTTCTGAAGAGATGGATTAAAGCTTTAAAGATCCATGAAAGCCCAGCAGCACCAGAACCACCTCCTAAAGTCCATCCTGCAGCTGAGGCAGAAGAATGCGGCTGGACGTGGATCAAGCTGGCACCCCAACCGCATCAGAAATCCACGCAAATAGGTGGCGTGGCTGGAGCTACGTTTGTTCTGATTTGTATCGTTAAAATTGTTGTTTGTGCTGCTAGGATTTTTTAAATATTCAATCAATCAATCAAAGCTTTATTTATAAAGAGCCTTCCCTGTCATGGAGCCCTAGGCGCTGTACACGGTACATAAGAAATGTAAATCACAATGAATAACTAGATAATAAAAGCAATTAAAATAGTGCAAAGAGGGTTAAAACATTGAAGTAGAAACAAATAGATAAAACAAGAGACAAAGTGACCAATAAAAACCGAGAATTAAATCAACATAAAAGAGGGCCGACCTCAAACATGTTCAGGGAACGCCAAGCGCCAACATTTTATTTTAAAGGTCATCCCCCAGATAGGTCCAAAATGAACCGGACCAGTCTACGTTTTTAGAGCTACGTTTGTGCTCATTTGTGCCGTTTGTGCTGCGGTGGGTTTGAGTCATATGATTATTATAAGGTGCTAATATATATAACATTTTTATTGTAATGCTTTTCAACTTGTCCTTTTGAAATGGCTTTGTGCCTTTGTTTGAAAATTGACAAATAAAGTTATTTAAAAAAAATATTGTGCTTGCAGAGTTTTTAGTAATGAAGACAATTCAAAATTGTTTGGAACAGAAAATTACCTGCTGAAGGGGTAATGATCCCGCCTCCTCCTTCCGCTTGAGGCATTTCCGTTTGTGGTACTTTTATGTCTGCAGCCAGATTGTCGTGGGGAGTCTTATTTTATAGTATATTTTATAGTTTATGGTATATGGTTTATGGCATATTTTATGTGGATATTTTCATTTATTTTAATTTTATTCTTATTTTAATTATCATGCCATACTATGTGTCTAATTTTGTGAGAAAGCTTGATACCTGGGGGGCTGGTGACATCATCGCCGCAAAACAAAACTATTACCGTTTTATCTCAAAAACCACCGCAGCACAAACGGCAGTTTTAACGACACAAATGAGCACAAACGTGTCACTGAAAACGTAGACACGTAGACGTACTGTTCATTTTGGACCTACCTGGGGGGATGGTGACCCCTGGATGACCTATGAAAATAATGTTGAATATTTCAAAACCCATAGCTGCATTTCAAAGACACAAATCAGCACAAACTTTGCACCAACCCCGCCACCTATTTATGTGAATTTTGATGTGGGTGTGGTGCCAGCGTGATTCACGTTTTGGCATAATCCTAACTGGTTTTTTGGTACAGTTGCCAAACTTCCACAGAATCATCGCTCTGAACCATCTACTCCCTTAGCCTTCAGCAGCAACGGCTTTATGGGATTATTCATGAATAAAATTGAATCTGTTAGAAACAAAATCAATAGCATTCCCAGCTGCACACTGAAAGCATCAGCGGTGCGGAACGGTGTACTCGCGACAATCACTGCACTCGAGTGCACACCGGGAGAGTCTCAGCAGCGAAGCAGCTTCTCTGCCATGCTCCTCTTTCAACTTGGAAGATCACAAAATCCCTTGAAAATTCCGCCAACCTCCACGCAAGATCATACAGTCCCTCAAGACTTCAGTTTATGGTTTGTTTATGCAATCTGCTATTTTACACTGAAACTGTGTATGATTTCCTGTCTAGCCTTATCTTAACTGCAGTAATTGACGCATCCCAGAAGTGGCTCGCGGCAAAAATAGAACTCGATCCGATCTTGCCGTGCTGTTTCTGGGAGGCATCTGAAAATAGCTGCTTTGCTGCTGGTTTATTACACTCCATAGACTTAAATGGGTTCAATTTGAAGCATTGCTGTTTCACTGCCATTACACACCACTGATGCTTCCAGTTTGCCATAGGGGTAATGTGATCTCTTCTTCCTCAGTAAGTGAGGCAGCATAAGAGGTAACTGTAGAACCTCATCTTTATTTGATCTGTTTTTATTTATTTCAGTTCAATTAAATTCAATTCAAGTTTATTTATGTATCTCCAAATCACGACAAGAGTCGTCTCAAGGCTCTTGACATAGTAAACATTCCAATACAGGTCAGGTCATTAAGCCAATCAGAAAAAAGTTCCCTATATAAGGAACCCAGTGAATTACATCAAATCACTGACTAGTGTCAGAGTCTTTACAGCAATCCTCATACTAAGCAAGCATAAAGCGACAGTGGAGAGGAAAACTCCCTTTTAACTGGAAGAAACCTCCAGTGGATCCTGGCTCAGTATAAGCAGCCATCCTCCACGACTCACTGGGGATAGAGAAGACAGAGCAGGGACACACACACACACACACACACACACACACACACACACACACACACACACACACACACACACACACACACACACACACACACACACACACACGCATACACACACACACACACACACACACACAACATATATACCAAGTAGTGTTTCTATGGTTACATTGTGATTTCTTAATAAATATTTTGTTTAGTAAGAGACAAACTTCATTGTATTTATTCTAGTGAATCTATAATTAAATAATAACGGGTAAACTAGTGGTAGCACATTCAATGTCAAAGAGAGTAAAATGTTATTATCAGGAGAGGGAGAATGTTTGAAAGCCCCATGTGTGAAATCCATGGAAATCATGATGAAAAAAATGTGACTCTTTAGCGCCACGCAGTTCAGAGAAAGTATTGCAGCTAAGGTGGCTCACTCATGAGTTACTTTTTTTCGTAACATACGAGGTGCATTTGACAAGACAGAGATGAAAACGGCTCGTG